AGATCGACGCCGTCGGTCGCAAACGCGGCGGCCGTTCGTTCGGCGGTCACTCCGAACAGGAAAACACATTGAATCAGCTGTTGGTAGAGATGGACGGCTTCAACACCACCACAAACGTCGTGGTCTTTGCGGCCACTAATAGGCACGATATGTTGGATGAGGCGCTGCTAAGGCCGGGCCGTTTCGATCGGATAATAGTCATGACGTTGCCGGACATCAAAGGTCGAGCGTCGATATTCAAAGTACATCTGCAGCCACTCAAGTCATCCCTCGACAAACTGGAAACCGCGCGGAAGTTGGCGGCACTCACGCCGGGCTTCACGGGCGCCGACATCGCCAACGTGTGCAACGAAGCGGCACTTATAGCGGCCCGCGATCTACACGACACGATTGTCTTCAAACACTTCGAGTCGGCCATCGAGAGAGTGGTCGCCGGACTCGAGAAGAAGACAAAAGTGCTGCAGCCGGAGGAGAAGCGCACAGTCGCCTATCACGAGGCCGGGCACGCGGTGTGCGGATGGTTTCTGGAACACGCGGACCCCCTACTCAAGGTGTCGATCATACCCCGCGGTCAGGGCCTCGGCTACGCTCAGTATCTGCCCCGCGAGCAGTACCTGTACTCCAAAGAGCAGTTGTTTGACCGAATGTGTATGACTTTGGGCGGCCGCGCGTCCGAAGAGGTGTTCTTCGCGCGCATTACGTCCGGAGCTCAGGACGACCTCAAGAAAGTGACTCAAAACGCGTACTCACAGGTCGTGCAGTTGGGAATGTCGGCTAAAGTCGGGCACTTGTCGTTTGATTTGCCACAATCGGGCGATAGGGTTGTGGATAAACCGTACAGTGAGGCCACCGCACAGCTCATTGACTCGGAGGTCAGGGAAATGGTTCAGAAGGCGTACGAACGCACTGTCGGTATGATTCGCGAGCACAGGGAGGACGTGGAGAAGGTATGCGATGAACACCCTTGTTGTGGGGGTGGGGGCTATTTGACAGATGTTTGTAAACCTTTTATTAACTTTTGTTTTATAGATAGCGCTGCGACTGTTGGAGAAGGAAGTGTTGAATCGCGAGGACATAATTGAGCTCTTAGGCGACCGTCCGTTCAAAGAGAAGTCCACTTACGAGGAGTTGGTTGAGAGCACCGGTGGTCTCGACGAAGACATATCACTGCCTAAAGGCCTGGAGGGCTGGAATCAGCCCAAGAGTAGCGACAAAAACCCAGATTAATATTCAATCATTTATTTAGTAATAAATTCTGGATTCACTCTTTATAAATATACAATTTTACTATCATTTAATAATTCAAATAACTATTTTTGAAATAACATTAATAAATAAAAAAGAAAATAAATTCATTAAAATAAACTGTTTTTAAATTAATGTAAGGTTTAAGATTCAACAAATTAGAGTTTAAATTTAATTAAAAATTAACAATACAATAGAGTTATATTATATTATATTCAAATATTTAATTAAATTATTTTACTTAATAATTGAATAAATATTATATTTCGTATATTGTATTACAATTATTCTATTTTTACGGATTATGTCTCAAAGTATTACAAAAATTTCTATAAATTTTAGTACTCATTAAATATTGTCGTAAATGTTGTCGAAATCGTCGACTAAACCAAAAATATATAACCGGGTAAAATAGTGTCGCTACTTGGAAACCATAATTAAACATATAAATATAGCTAGCTATTGTTGCTGAACACGGATTTTGACCAGGGTGATTGAAATTATAGTGAAGTTTAGTAACGGAGTTGATGTGAAATAACGAGTTTGTGATCAGAAATAATGTGAAAATCAAAACTAACTGACGAATGACATGTATTTCCAGATTTGATTCGCCCCTTAAATAATCTCTAATAAATACAATAATTATAATTATAGTAAATATAAATATCGATACCATTGGTATAAAGTATTGGAAAAGTAGCCGCAATAGAGTGGACACGGCTTTAAACGTGCGATTATTGGTCAGGAAATGCATATAACTCTCGGTATGAATACAAGTGACCGAACCGTCGATAGTATCAATCAAATAGACATCATTTGTCGCTATGAAAGGCACCGATAATATCGCGGATAACATCCAAACGCCGGTCAATAACTTCTTTGTGGACATATTGTTGAGCGGATTATTATTGTTGAACACATTTATGAGACAATAGTATTGATCGCACGATAAGACTGTCAGCGATATTGATGTGACATATAGTGAAAATGCGTTAAAATAGTTGGCCATCGATTGTATGATAGATAGGACCAGAGGTTGAGTGCCGGCGGTGTAGAGCATTGGCGACATTATATATGGGCCGCAAAACGAGAGAGACATAAGTAGTCCCGAGTAAGCGATGTTTGTCATCAAAAGTTTGGCCCTTTTGTTGCCCGAAATGGTGCGTCTCTTGAGAGTGAAATGAATGACTTTAATAGTGATTGTATCGGTTATAACGGACACCAATTGAATGAAATACAGTATATTTAATATGGTTTTTTGAATTGCATTCATATGAAAGTGAAATGTAAAGTCCTTTCCAGACATTTTTTTTACTAAAATAAGTTTTTAAAATAGTTTTGAATGCAGTCAACACTTTCAACTAAATAAACTAATATAATTTATTTGATTAGTTTTGTGTGCAATTGTTTTTGAGAATTGAAATGTTTGTGAATTTGATATAAAGTATTACATATAGTGTTAAATTGCAGACTATAAACGCTTACATTTAACATTTAATTATGATTTTATTAATTTAAATAGTTTCAAATTATGTTTACATTGATTTAATGTTTAATTATTATATTTGGCATAAATTCAAAGTTCACACATACATTTTATTTAGTTATGCAATATAATAATTATATACCAATCAGAGACGAGTGTAGAAACTATGATTTATGTAAATTTAAAAATCTGTGATGACTCATGAAAACTGATGACTCTGAAAAGTGGTCAAATATTATCACTCATCACTGATGATTGATAATATTTGACCACTTCTTTCATAACTTTTTGTTTTCTACCTTCACTTAAATCTGTGAAAATATTTTATGAAATATTTATTAAAATTTTTAAAAATAATTATAACTTACCAATAATTTAATTGGTACATTTTTAACGGCATATATCTTATCCAATCTATGCTTTACTTTAAATACAGTCCCGAAACCACCCGAATCTAAGTTTGACATTTCATTGAATTGCTTGTTATAGTGGGATAAAGATTCCTATGTTTTTAAATAAAAATTTTAATAGATGATTGTAATTTTGTTGATATTTTACTGCAAAGGGATTTGTACATAATAGTATTGATCGCACGACAGGATTGTTAACGATATGGACATCACATAAAGAGTGAGTGACTGGAAATAGTTGGCCACCGATTGTACGGTATAAATGGTCACTGGGTTTGTATGACTGAGCGCTGGTATTACTATAAACATAGGATAACAGCTGCCGATTGTCATCAATAGTCCCGAGTAAGCGATGTTTGTCATCAAAAGTTTGGCTCTTTTGTTGCCACAAATAGTGTTGCCTTTAATTGAGTAATGAATTACTTTAACGATTATTACATCCGATATAACAAACAGTAATTGAATTAAAATGCCAATATATATTATAACTTGTTCAAAATTATTCAAATAATAACGTTTTTCTAGTTGTTTATCAAGCATTTTTAATCACGTTTAAATATATTACATTATTTGATTTACTTTGGAAGTTAGACAATCAAAACGAGTATTTAATAAAAAATATTTAACGCATTTCGCTGTTGTTAATGAAAATAAGTCAACGAAGTAAACATAGCAATAAAATCGCATAAATAAATATGTTTTCGTTAGCAATGGTATAATTATTTACATTATATGTTAATTAAGCGATGATATTAAACATATTTATCTTGAAATTTTAATTGCAATTACAATTTGTTAGTTTTCTAACTGAAAACTAAATGATTCAATTTTTATTTGAATTAACAAAGTTTATAATAACAGCAAAATTAATTGTTTTCTCATAATATATTTTTCATTAGTAGTGGGGTTGTGTTATTTTTTAATTTATTTAAATAATCAATTATTTATTTAATACAGCGATTAATTACAGAGTTTGTTGTTCTACTAATTGTTTGAAATACTTATAAATGAATTTATATTCAATTGATTTTGCGTTAAATATAGGGATTCGCCACAGAATTGCACTTTTCATTCGTGAGATTATATTAGCGTTTATTACATTTGGATTTTCACCAAAAATAGCATTGAATTCATTAATTATATCACTTATATTATCTCTTATTACTTAATCTATTAATAAATCTATAGATTTGATCGACATTTACACCAAAATTATTTAAAATATATGACTTGTGATCAATGTCTTAATTGCCATTGTTATAAACATTTAATTAAAAAAAATTATTTTATAATCATTCAATTATTTAAAAATAATGAAAATTCATGTTTATATTTAAATTGCTTTAAAACATTTTTCATTTAAAATAAATAACGAAAAATGTTTTAGTTCACGAAAAAGCAAAACTGGTTAAACACGTGATGGCGTTATAGATGTGCACAAAGGTTAGCACAATATTAGGCAAAGGGTTACCACGATTTCATTGCATTGCATCACATCATGCAATACAGCCCAAGACAAAGACATTCTTGAGATGAGGCACTTCTAGCCCTAACTTAAGTCCATCTCACAGTTATAACCCATCCCTTTGGTTGTGTGCATCAAAATTTTATTTGCAAGAGTTACAATTTGTTTGCAAAATTACCATATTATAAACTAACCACAGTTATAATTTGTAAATTATGCATTATAATAAATGTAAAGCATGGACTTTTACATTCACCTTGATCAAAATCACGTTGGCATCGGTGTACGCGCTGGCGTATATTGGCTACATATCATTGGCCTGTCAATGGGTGTCCACAGATACAGCCAACTTTGGTCCAGCAAACGTACTCCTAATGAATGACCCAGATCGTATGACACACTTAAAATTATTAAAATTATCACACTTCATTAGATATTTAAAAATTTTTGCTATTTATAAAAATTTTAACCAGATTTAATACCAGCATGGAGGATAGTAATCAAAGTGGGTGTGTACAATAATAAGGCAAACATAACAGAGATAAATAGTGACATGTGCGACAATTCTGGTAAGAATTAATAAACCAAAATTATAATAATTAATTGTGACTAAAAAGCATATCGTACAATTTTTACTTTTTTTTATTGCAAATTAGTCGAACCTGGTCATTTGCCACTACTCAGTCTATTTATAATATATTTTGGCTTTTTGAATGTAAGATGCGAAAAGATTGTGATATGTCCATTGCTGCTTATCGTGTGGAACATTGCACTTCATGTATATGTGGGTGAGTTTATGGCGGCCGCAATTTGGATCATGTTCCTCGCCCTTAACATCGTATACCTATTGCTTTTATATTACAATAAACGCCACCCAAAGGAATCTGTGTACATGAATATTTATAAGCGAGTTTAATTACATACTGTTTGGCTCACTAAAACTTTCATTGAGTAATCCTATAGTTACTGTAATTAACTTTAATTTAGTAGTTATTACGTTTTATAATCAATAATTTGTATTTTAATAGTTATTAATCAAGTAATTTATGTCATATTAGAATGGTAAATTTTATAAACAATCTCACTACAAATAAGCGAAGTTATTTTAGTAATTATGAGTAGTGATCACATGTTAAACGAATTAACATTAAAGATTAACATTAACCTTGATTAAACATCATTAATAAATTTAGTTTTAAAATTTATAAAAACAACATTGTACATCCATTTATAATTTATAAACAATGTAAAACTTTATATTTGTTTTAATGAAATAATTTTTGTGCCTTTAATTGTGTGCCACCAGAAACGTTTTATAACTTCAATATAAAATTTTTAAACTTTCATTCTAAACCACTGCTTATTAATTTAATATAAATTCTGTGTTTAATTAAAATGTTACAAAACATTACACATCATATACTGTACATTAGTTTTAATAAATCTTTGGATTATTTTCTATTTTTTAATAAAAAGTGTCTAAAAAATATTTTATAATTTATTTTATAATTATCCAAAACTGATCACAATTTTAGTTTTGGTCGGTTTTAATAATTTATTTTTATTTGAATTAATAAAATTTATAATTACAGCAAAATTAATTATTTTCTCATAATATATT